TGAAGTGAAAATGCAGTAATAAGTTCAGGCTGTTTATTTTAATCACAAAATCAGCTATGAAACTCCAAATTGCTGAAGTTTCTGCAAAGCATAAAATAGGGATGCACATGATCTTCTCAATATTTATGAACTGTAAAGTATAAAAATTAGCAGTCCCCAGGTTAAAATTTTTAACAAAATACTTAAGCACATGTGTAACACTGAGAATTTAAGCAATTCTTCCTTATTCAGAAAAGACTGGCATTTTAGTCCCATTAGTGATACTTTATTCTGTGTAGTATCAAGTACCTGCTGAAGCGTGTTGCTAAACCAGGAACAGAGCAAGGTCCTCCCTTTGGCAGCTCAGATATCAGTCAGAAATTAATCCCTTACCAAGATCTAAATTACTAGAAAGTTAAGAGTATTCAATAGCAGAATAAGACTTACTGTCCTCCATCTTACAGAAGACAGCACCATCAGTGAACTGCAACAACCCAGGAGCTGCTGTGGTGAGCACTGTGTATCAAGGTGTCCCTTGGAGGTATAAACTGGGCTGGAACAATTTTGCCACTACCATGGAATAGTGAACATGCTGTCATATTTGTCAAGGGAGGTGCAGTAAAGGTTAATTATTTAAATCTGACCTAAATTTCCCATGCTTATGTCTTGTTCCATAATAACAATAAGTTCCAGAGCAATAATTTGTTATTTGGACTAAAACTAGTATTGTGACACACACTGGATGAGAAGTAGCTTTTTCTTCACTCTTCCTCCCATCTGGTATATGTGAGTAAGTGCATCACATTGGGATATAAAGGACATATTTAGTCCCATGGGGGGACAGTCAGTACAGATGGCAGTTTCTCTCCTGTGTCCCCTCATCCTTAACAGGGAAATATGTTGAAGGTGTTTACAGGTAGCCCCTTTTAAAGCCACATGTATCAGGAGCCAGGGTGAGTGTTTATGTGTGATTGTGTGCAAGCATGTGCAACAAGACAAAGGGAGAGAGAAAGTCACTGTAATGTGTTCTACAGAAAAATTAGGTTTCTCTAGAGACTAATAAAAATTAAATTTTGGTAGTGGAAAAATCCTGAGTGAGGTAGCTTAATGTTTATACCTTTGTCACCCATACTGTAAAGTCTCAAGTAGAATATCTAAAATAGTGATATCTAAGAGCCAGAAGAAGAAAAAAACTGTCCCCTTAGTTCATACTGCACAGCCTGTCTGGCTGGAGGCCAAAGTCATGACAGCTTGCATTGTGGTGGGGAGAGCAGTGTGGCTCCCTGATCAAGGTCAGCAAATTTTTAAAGAACAGAGCTTGGTTACTGCTCACTTTGTGGGAAAGGGTTGTTTGGAGGTGAGCAAGACTCTGCATGGAGATATTCCACACGCACCCTCTGTCACTCTCAAAACCAGGCAAGCTGGAGCTGTCTCCAGTGAGGTTTCTTGCAGCTGAGAAATGCCTTCCTGAGAAACAGGCAAACTAGCTCTATGAACTGAGGCTGGTGCATCCTTATCTCAGCATGCAACACCCACAGTCAATAGTTGTTGAGATGCTGTAAACAGTTTGGCTGTATCATTTCATCCCACTTCTTGCATGGTAGGCTCCCTCAGCTGTTATAAGGCTTGCCATCAAAAGGGTTTGCATTCCCAGACCAAGGATTGCAAGGCGGCTGGGAATGTTTGACTGGTTGGCATTCAGACCCAAGCCTTATCCCCCTAAATCATGTATCATGTTTTCTAGGACATCTCCTTGTAACGGAATGGGTTTGAGGTAAAATCAATCCTGCTGCAATCTCAAGAACATATTACTCTTAGGGATAAGCAAGACCAGAATTTCAGACCCTTTCTAGAAGGTCAAAATGGGAGAGAAATTAAGTTTTAGTATTAGGGCTTGTTAGAAGAGCTACAGCCTTCCAGAAATGTCAAATTCCTGAGACCAACTGTGGGTCAGAACTTTCCATTAAGCTTCTCCTCTGGAAGCAGATCTGCCTGAAGATCAGATGACAGACACCAGAAAGCAATGCTTGTTTACATACTCAGAGTTTATAATAAGAAATTTGCAATCATGTTTATGTTTTTAAAAGGGTTTCTGAAAGTACTTTGTGAAGAGACAGCACCCTTTGCTTTCACAAAGTAATAAGCAGAAACTTTTCTCTGGTAATCATACCCTATTTGGGAAGTACTTTCCAGCATCTGTGTACAAAAGCTGTTTAAAAACAGTTCTCTACAAAAATAAAGTTGTAAAGCTATAAAGCATTTTTTATTTTGGCAGACCAAAATAATTTTTTCCCTGTATTTCAGGAAGACTTTGACATTCCCAGAAGTTCATTAGCTTGACTGTTTTGAGGAGAAGTTTTCTTTTTGCCTTTAATCTTCTACTGATATGGAGAATTACTTTGTTTGTATCAATACAGGGCTATTTTTTATCACTCCATGTTTAAACGCTAGCTCTCTTATTGACCTTTTCAACTAGGTCTTGCTTTGAACAAAAAAAAAAATAATGGGTTTGTTGTTTTAAAAACAATAGCTTCAGTTTTAAATGGGATTTTTAATCTAATTTTTAAAAAAGAAATTAGAGTTTTGATATAGAGCTGGGACACATCATTGTTATATGGAGCATTGTTGTAAAATAAGGACATTATAAACTCTTTTTTTTTCATTCTATATTTGCCCATGTCAAAGCAAAGTCTTTTTCTCAGCCTCTGCTGTAGAAAATAATAATTTATATTCAATGTCTTTCTCCTTCTTAATATTTCAAATAATTCAGCTGGACTATCTCCATCAATCGGGTGAGCAGAGCTGTAACACCTACTTAAGGGAGGGGAGCCATCTGGCTTCCTTGCAACTTGGAGCCTGCTGGCAAATATTAGGTTGTACCAATTTAGTGCATGATGAAGTGGGAAATAATGGACATTCTTGAAAAATCTGAAACAGGATCAGCTGTTATTGGCAAAAATTGGCAGGTGCAGTGCACTATGTCGGCTGTAAGCATGGGCTCAAGTTGGAGAGTGCAGCTGGGAAAATGGGCTGCTAATTGAATGGTTGCAGAACTCCCAGCAGCTCTGACAGTAGTGGAGCATCATTAATTGGAGGCACTTGGTTGACTTGGTGGAAGCTGTCACAGAATGAAGGACCCTGCAAGTTGATGTTTACTTTCTAAGTGTTAGTGTGTTTATTGCCTGTTACTCAGAATGAGTCCTTGTAGAGTCAGAAGTGCTTTCAGACTTGGGAGAATTGGCATAAGGCTAGCAATATCTATTTCTTATTTATATTTACAGCAGTAAATGATTGTAAGTGATTGGGAGTCATAAAAGCTACTCAATTACACATTTGTTAAACTGCACACTTCTATTGTTATCTTTCTCTTTTTCCCCTTCAGTTTCACTTCTATTGGGCTTCTAAATTGGCTTGCCTTGGTGCTGCAACTATTCTTTTTCTTCTCCATTTACAGCCTGAGAGGATCTCAAATGAGTTTCTTAGGTGCATCTGTAATTCATATGGTGGTTAAAGAGACAAAAATAGCCTGTTTTTTGTCCAGAATAGTATTACATGCACCTCTAATTTATGTGGATCTCAGAATAGCAGCGTATGCAAAAGCACGTGCGTGTTAGCTGTGGCTCCCTTTTCGTATGTTGTTTTTATTAATTAAATGCAAATATACTGTGGTGCATCCTAATTTAATATAAAGGTCTGCGGGCAAAATGTGATGTTTTTCCTCAGCTGTTAGCATCCCTTGAGGAAAAGATCTATTGGCAACAAGTGCAGGAAGTACTGCTGACTTCAGAGTGCACATCACCTATCATCGGTGATTGTAGCGCCCCTATGCACCTAAAAACTCTCCAGCCTGAGCATCCTGGTGCTCTGCTGCCTCCGTGAGCTATAGGCCAATTCTTAAATGCTTTGAGGGACTGATGAGACCAATTTTAAGACTTCCAGTGGCCATCATGTTCTTCCTCATTTGAGGTGATAGACCTCTGCATTTGGGTAACCTCTGTCAGGTGGGAAGCAGGAAGATCAAACTGGAAGGGTTTGGAAGTTGTGTGCCTGGATCAAAGCGCTCTGTGGCATATGTCAAGCACAGGCCTATGATGGACCTGGCAATGGCACGACACTGATGATGAAGCTTCTGCCTCCTTATCCTGGCTCTGCCTCTGCAACCAGGGACAAGCTGTTTTGAGGAATGACAGTTTTTTTAACTGGGTGCTTATTCTGCCTCTCTTTTGATTTTCCTAGTGTTAAGAAGTGCGCAGAAATAACTCACTCAGATTCCAAAAATTAAATAAATTGAGCATCAACCTGGAGCTTGGTTGGGGCAGGTTTTGGGAAACAAAGTGTGTTATTGTGCTCCTTGCGACCTACCTGGCTGAGAGACGGCAAACAAAATTATGGGTTTGGGACCTGTCCCAGTCATAGAATCATAGAATGGTTTGGGTTGGAAGGGACCTTAAAGATCATCTAGTTCCAACCCCGCTGAATGGGCAGGGACACCTCCCACTAGACCCATCCAACCTGGCCTTGAACACTTCCATTGATGGGGAAGCTACAGGTTCTATGGGCAACGTGTTCCAGTATCTCACCACCCTCACAGTAAAGAATTTCTTCTTAATATTTAATCTAAATCTACCATCTTAGAGTTTGAAAGCATTCCTCTCTCATCCTATCACTACATGACCTGGTAAGAAGTATTTCCCCAGCTTTCCTGTAGTCCCATCAGATACTGGAAAGCTGCTATAAGGCCTCCCTGGAGCCTTCTGTTCTCCGGGCTGAACAACCCCCTTTGCCAGGGCAGTTCTGTCCTGCAGCAAGCCCTGCAGGCATGGAGGCATTCACAGCAGCCCAGACCCCGCTCTGCCCCAGGGAGCAGCCACCACATGGCTGGAGCCATGGCTGGGGAAAGGATCATGCTGCTTCAAGCAGGCAGGTCCGGCAGGTGCCATCATCAAGCCATGATGGGCTGTTAACGCCCCCCTTTTTTTCTTGTTTTAATATTTTTTTAAATCTTTTTCCTGTGCACACAGCTGAACGAATCTGCCAAGCAGCTCATTGAGATGGACAAGACGTGCTTGGCTGCTGCCTCTGGCTGTGAGATGATGCCGACGGAGACGGTGGCAGCGGCGGCGGCAGCAGCAGCAGCAGCAGGGCCCAGCTTGACCCCCTGCTCCCCAGCAGCAGGCGCGGGGACGGCCGGGGCTGCCCAGCGGCAGGCAGAGGGCAAGAAGAACGCCAAGAAGCGCCACTCCTTCACCGCCCTCAGCATGACGCACAAGTCCTCCCAGGCCGCCAGCAACCGGCACTCCATGGAGATCAGCGCCCCCGTCCTCATCAGCTCGAGCGACCCACGGGCGGCCGCCAGGATCGGGGACCTCACCCACCTCTCCTCCAGCGCCCCAGCCCAGGTAAGGTGGGGGTGGAGGTGGGTTCTGGGCAAGCTTGGTGGGCAGCCTGCTGTTGCCTCAGCTCTTTCAGAACGGTTTACCCTTCTGTCACCATTTGACTCAGGATCGACAGCAATGCTCTCAGTCTCCTCCCCTTCCCACCCAGGTAAGGAACAAGAGATTGAATGAGACTTTACTGGATTGAAAACTAAACTACGCAGCTTTAATTAAACACTAATGATAAAAGAAAATATATACAATTATATACAAATGTTTTCAAGAATGTGCAAACGCCTCTCTGCTCCCCCAACCCCCAGCAGCTCCCACAGCATCTCCTGAGCTGTGAACAGTCCCGAAAAGTCCCGGAGCTGCTGGAGAGAGCGCAGAGTGATGAGGGTCAGGAGACCTCGAGCCTGGGGGTCGATGGTGTTGGATGGATGGAGTCCTCCACGGATGCTGGCAATGGATTGAAGAGAAGGGAAGAAGTAGCAGGAAGGGAGTTGTCTTCTGTGATCTCTGACCTTCCTCTGAGCTTACATAGTTATATGGAATGGAATATCTGTGGCCAATTTTGCTGTCTGTCTAACTCAGCCTCCTATGGTGGGTCATAGATCCCCCTGTAGTGTCTGAGCTGGAAGAGTAAAGACCTTGAGGCCCCAACAATAACAAAAACATTCTGGTGTTATCAGTCCCAGCTTCCTGAAGGAAAAAAAAAAAAAAATCAGTAAAAGGAAAAGTGGATTCATCCTTGCTCAAACCAGGACACCTTTCATGAAAACTGTTGCATGACTCTGTAGTCCTGATATGACAGGTACTTGGCATCTGTTGTTCCCATCCTTGTGTTAATCAGTGGGTCAGCATAAGGAACTGGAGGATAAAGCCAAATTTGATTCACAATAACACAACACATTTTTAAAAAAAAAAAAAAAAAAGCAATCCTACAATTTGTTTGAAGTAGTGCTGCTTATATTACAATATTTTCTGTTGTAGAAAGGAATAATTCTGAGTGATCCCGTTAACCTCCAGGGTAGCAATGCTGGTGTGAAATTCACACATTGGGGATAAAAAAAGATTTTTTGAGTAATTAGTTCTTTACAGATCATTTGAGTATCAGCAAATGTGCCATACTTTGTTGTACTAAATGTTGTACCCAGCAAGTTCAGAAATGCCCAAGGAGATTTTAAAGCACCAAACGTGCTGAAGCTGCAGTTCTCCATCCTTTCCCCTCTTGAATGAAGGGACATAGAAGCAGCCTCCTGGATGTTCCCACTGGTCCCACAGGTCTGCTTCTGGAGATCTGGCAGAAACGAGGCCAAATTCATCAGGAATGCACTGAAACCCCTTGTTGTTTCTGTGGATAAGGGAATTCAAGTAGTACTTTGCAGTTTGAAGACACAGAAGAGAATGGAGAACAATAATAACAA